GTACTTCAGCATCAAGGGTCTGGATAACTTGATACCACCAGACCAAAGGGTGCTGACCCACCATGAAGCAGAATATAAGCCGCCAGGAAGGCTGAACACATAACGTTGCTGAAGCTCTGTGACTGACCCAACTAAAATAGGTGGGACAAAAAGTTCAAGACAACAGGTATAAAAAAATATTTTTAAAGCCTTTGCTACTATATAGATGTTGGTCTACTATTATAATCTATATATATATATATATATATATATATATATATATATATATATATATATATATATATATATAAAAATATCTAAATAAGTCTCTCATCTTCTTTTCTGAAATAGCCAGAAAGTATTAAAGTTATTATAGCATTAATTTTGAAGGGGGCCTAAACCAAAAAAAAATGTGTAACATTATGAATCAAAAATATTTTATTTCAATTATTAGTATTTTTTACATATAAATATATTAACTTAAAAGAACACTATAGGGTCAGGAATACAAACATGTATACCTGACCCTATAGTGTTAAAACCACCATTTAGGAGGTTTACCCCCCCTGCCCTTAGCACCTTTATAAAAGGTTAATACGTACCTTTTTTCCAGCGCTGCGCAGGTCTGCCTGCGCTGGCCCCACTCTGATCCGCCTATTTGGCTGACATTATCAGAATTCCTATAGGAAGGAAGTAGGGTGGGGGTGTGGGCCAAACACCAGCCAGGCCAATCAGCATCTCCTCATAGAGATGCATTGAATCAATGCATCTCTATGAGGAAGAAATCATCTGAACTGCAGTGCTGCACAGTTTATTTGTAATGCCTAATTAGAAAACAAGATGAATAATGGAAATGCTAATTGCCCTCGAAAATGTCTATGATATTGTATCTTGAACATATGGGACACACAAGTAGTACAAAATCTCAGAACAAAAAGAGTTACTTTAGTTCAATGATATCTAAAATCAGATTCCACACTATACTTTTACGTGTGTTTGCAATAGTAAGAGATATATATATATATAGCTATATATATATATATATATATATATATATATAATGTTATGTATCAAATGTGTGATACAGAGTAATTTAATAGTGAATAGGAATAGTGATGCAGTTTGCTAAAAAAATATACCTAAATGTAATAATAATGTGCTAATTAGTTACATAAGCATCAGTACTTTACAGAGCATTGCAGGTTGCAGTTGGAGACCCTGTAGTGTAGTGTAAAGCCATCTGTTACTCGTTTTTCCTAGATTTTAGAATGCCAAAATAAAGTTTGAACGAGGGAAGATCAGCATTAGAGCAAAAGCATTAGTTACAATTTATTTTGAATTACTTTGTAATGCAATTTGACACAAGTGTGCACATTTGGGGGAGTAAATAAACTAGTAATAAGAACCAGGAGAGATATATAAACAGAGTAGATGAAAAACAAGTAACAATAAAAATGAAATAAATAAATAAATATAAAATAAAATAAAAGTTAAAAAAGCAGGTAAAATAAACACATAAAATGAAGAAAGTGACAACCAATAGAATAATAATGAGAACAAGAAATAAAGTTAGAAGATAAATAAAAACAAAGAAACAAATTGTGAATATAAAATTAAAAATAAACATCTGTGTATATAAATGCATATAATAGTTGTAATGATGATGATAAAGTTTATAAAATCTATCTGAAATAATAATAAAACAAGAAACAATGCACTTAAAGAAGAAGCCATTTAAAGAGAGCAAATAGAAAAAAAAAGATATAAACTGGAACATTATATCTTCAGCAAATAAAACATGATGAAAATAATGAGATAAACACAGATATAAATGTAATCATGAAAATAAGTATAAAAAAAATAAAGAAAAGTCATAGAATAAAATAAATGGGATACATACATATCTGAACTGGTGATCCCTTAAAAAAAATACTAATGAAGGTAAGGAATAGATTTCCACTTCGTAAAAACATCAAGTCCTAAATTATGGTTTGAGTAACCCTTGAACACAAAGGACTAATTGCAATCAACCTCCATAACAGCAAGACCCATCAAAAGGACCATACAAACAGATATAAGAAAAAAGTAACATTTACACAAATGAGATTTATTGATGGTTTAAAAGAAAAGTCCTAAATTATAACGTATGGGTAAGGTATAGACATCCACTTCATAAACATCAAGTCCTAAATTATGCATACTATGTCCATATCTGTATTTATTCACTGATGTTACAAAGTTTGAAGTTTATCGAATAACTATATGGTTGTGATAATGTCATCTTCTCTTCAGTGTACTCTTACATGTTTCAGTCCAAAAAAAAGTACTTCATTTGAATTTGTGCACACCATCTGCAGTGGATATACATATTCATGACTCTTTACTAAAGTAAGAATAGTCAGAATTCAAAATCATTTTCACATTTAAGACCAAAATAGCCAAATTTGAAGCATAGTTTACTTTTCTAGACTGGAGGAAATTAGTGTATAGTGTCGCAAAAGTAGAAACTAACAGCGAAGGAGCTTCACTAGTATAAAGAGGGGGGAACCCTACCTTTTTATGAATCTAGGGATAAAACAGATATGCAAACAGAAAATATATATATATATATATATATAACAAAAAAGGGAGGATCTACTAAACGGTACTTAAGAATCTGTAAACAGGAGTGCAAAAATCACCAAAATTCCAGTCCACCTAGTATCCGACAGAAGGGAAGGTAGTACAGATGAGGTAAGGGAGAGAAAGCACAGGAGGTCCAAAGGAAGGCCAGAGACACTTGTCTGGATATAAATAAAAACCTCAAAAGAACTATCTCCCTAAAGATTACATTGACTCTGTAAATGTGTTTAGAAAGAACTATTATTTTTGATATACAGGCACTCCTCACTTATTGACGAGTTTCGTTCCTACAACTAAGTCATAAAACTAATTGTTCAGGATGCATCACACCACCGCGACAACCAACTCTCACATGTGCTAGAGAGCAGGCTCTATGTTCGGGGGAATTCCAGGAACATAGCACATGGAATCTCTCAAATCTATGTTTGGGGGAAATTCCCTTTGAACATAGACCAACTAGGCCTGGTACCAGCCTGGTACAGGGCTGGATCCAGGGACAGCAGTGTTGTGTGACTGTTAACTGCAGTTTTTTATGCAGTACAGCTCTCTGCAGTACAGCCTGTCTTCTTCTCTTCTAGCAACTGTGCAGTTATGATGTGTAGCTGCAGTACCCTGTATGTGAAGGGGATAGGACCTCACTCTCACATGGCCAGGGGGGCTGCCAGGAGGAAGATCTGCTGCGGGGGGGCTCCTTGGGACCGGGTAAGTAATGAAAGACCGGAGGGTGTACAATTACGCCCGGCGGCATTTAGAGGCGCCTAAAATAGGGCGTAATTGTACGCCCTCCGGTCTTAAGGGGTTAAAGAAATTTGGGATTTACGAGCTACTATTTATTCTGGATTATTTCTTAATGCAAATGAAAGATAGTACAAGTGTACACATTTTTGGGTGTAAAAAAAAACTAATACTAAATAGAATCAGCAAAGTAAGAATAACTGTGTCTGTGCTGGCCCCCTAGTCAAGGTAAAGTAAAAAAAAAATAACCTTACCTGTAAGTTCTCCCGTTAGCCAGATTCTCCTCTGCTAACTTCACTCCCAATATGCTGACAGGGGAGAGATGGATAATGGCATCCCAATGACGCTGTCGGAGGTTGAGTTACACCTCTGGCAGCAGAAAGGTCAAACTCTGTATGTGCAGTGACTCATAGTTAAATGCTTCATATACCTACTCCAGGCACTGTCACTACTTTTAAACCAGTGAAGTGGTCATGGTGCTGGGAGTAACCCTTTAATTGCCTGCTGTAAATTTGAAAACTAAACACTTCTAACCTCTTTAAAATTAAATTGTAGCAGTCGATCTCCATTTAGTCTTTTATTTATGTATACATCTATTTAGATATTCCCCTTGATGTATTAGTATGCCAGAAAACCAGCATAAGGAATCAAATTATTTTTTTCCAAACAATATGTAAAGTTTACTAGTATAAATCACTGTGAGAAATGTAAGCATAACTTAACAGATGCAGCTTAGAAGATTTCCTTGCACGAAGTCTACAAACTTGTGGTGCATTTAGATACACCTGCTTAAAGTGTTGAGAGTTTGCCTCTTCAAAGTGATACAGCCAAATCTGCAACTTCATTTTTCTTACCAGTGAGATCATTTTACTGTATTTTTAAAGCATTGTCAGTTAAGAAAAAAAAAGATTTCAGACTAAAAATATTGCAGTTTCCATCTTTGACTTTTTTAAACTTTATTTCATCAATACACTTAGATGCACACTAAGAAAATTCAGTTTGCCTGCCTATTTACAGATAACCTCAAATAAAATTTCCAATTCCACTTTGGAAACCAAGCCAATGAATTCATCAGAGATTTAAAAATGGTTGTCAAAAGAGGCAAATAGGAAAAAAAAAAAATTTTAAATAAAAGATCTAGCTTCACCAGCCTTTCCTAAAATTTGCAATGTTCTAGTCAGTTCCAGACCCTACAGAAAACTGAGCTAGATAGAATAGAACAGGAAATTGAAGGCTACATAGCCATGGTTAAACAACAGTTCCTGGCTTACTTAAAGGGACACTATAGTCACCAAAACATACTGTATAGATCATCCATCTGAGGTTTCACTGCTCAATTCTCTGCCATTTAGAAGTTAAATCACTTTTTTTTCTGTTTATTCAGCCCTGGCCACACCTCCCCTGGCTGTGACTGACACAGCCTGCATGAAAACAAAATAGTTTAATTTTCAATCAGATGTAACTTACTTTAAACATTGTTATCTCCTGCTCTGTCAATTGAAATTTAATTACATCCAGTATTAAAGTAGGAGATAAGACTTTCTAAAGTAAATAGAATTTGCAATAAAGTAAGTGTAAACATTAGATCATTAGTGTTTAGGAAGACTGTGTAAGTCACATGCAGGTAGTGATGTCGCGAACCGTTCGTGGCGAACTCCAGTCAGCTGACACATCCCTGCCAATCCCCGGCAGACCCTCCCTCCCAGACCCTCCGACTTCCTGGACAGCATCCATGTTGAAGGCAGCTTCAACATGGATGCTGTCCAGGAGGTGGGAGGGTCTGGGAGGGAGGGTCTGCCGGAGATTGGCAGGGATGTGTCAGCTGACTGGAGTTCGCCACGAACCGTTCGTGGCGAACCGTGGCGAACCGTTCGCGGCAAGTTCGCGAACGGTTCACAACATCACTACATGCAGGATGGTGTGACTAGGGCTGCATAAACAAAGTGATTTAACGCCTAAATGCAAAGAATTGAGCAGTGAGACTGCATGGGCATGCTTTATACACCATAACTGCTTCATTAAACTAAAGTTGTTTTGTTGACTATAGTGTCTCTTTAATAACCTTGTGAGAAAAATGTAAGAACCGGAAGAAATTAAGTACACATCAAAGTATACAGAAGATATGTACATTTGTTGAATTCGTAATTAAACAAGTCGATTTTGTTTGACAACGAACCGATTACCCCAAAAATCCTTTTGATTTGTTTGTCAACGGATGAAAAGTTTTAGTTTGTTTCATGATTCAGAGTTTGCATTCTCAGCTGTTTGCCTGAGGAACATATCAATTATTTAAAACATGTTTTTTTTCCCCAAACAAATCAATTTGTTGTCAGTTGAATTGATTTGTATAACGATGTAATAAATGCACATCTAGTATATATAGAATATAGCATCAATATATGTATCTTGCAGTATCCTGGTAAAAGCATAAACAATGAAATTGCAAATGTGAGGCCAGAAAAGCCAAAATGTAAAAAAAAAAAAAAAAAAATTATAAAATTAGAATAGCATTTTCCTATTCAGCTTTCTACAGTTCTACCGTGCGTTAAAAGAACACTCCATATGCAAAAGGCACTTCAGCTGTCAGAAGCATCACATCTTATAAAAGTGCTGATTTTTATTTCAAATTTGCACTTTTGAAAATAATTACAGGAATATCTCCCTGGCTGTCAGGTTTTCATCCTGATTTTGTTAGCTTTAAAGAGCTAACTTCTCCAAAGTAAAAGTGTTCCTAAAAGTACACACTTGCAGGCCTCCGCAGATCCCACTTTGGCTCTGTGAGGACTCCCTGACCACAGACTCCTTGACTGGTAGCATGGAAAACCTGACCTGAAAGCCGTGCATGCACGCTCACTGCTTATAATCAGAGGCTTCTCAATTAGGAGTCAGTTTCCAAGCATAGACTGAAAGTCTGCGTTGGATAAAAAGATAAGGACATGCAAAGGCTGCAGACAGCAGGTCTGCAGCTTTAGAATCCTGTTTTTATATATACCCAATGAAAAAATAAATACATGCATGTTTTCATTTGGGTATAACTACTAAATTGTTAAACAATATATAAAAAAACATTCCACTGGAGTGTTCCTTTAAACTAAGCTGAAATTTTAAATCTGAAATATTTAATAATACATTTGTTGCTCTAGTATATGACAAGTATATCTCTTCAAGAATAAAACAGCATATGGTTTACCCTCTGGAAATTTTCATCTCACGCAATTCTGCCAGGTGTTATTCATTAGCTTATTCTAACAAGAGCATTGACACTTAAAGAGAAAGTGACAGTACTTTAGCATATCGCACAATGTCAGTGATATAATATTTAAAAAGTATGAAGTGTAAACATGAGAAGACATTAGAAATGCAATATACAATATGTTTATTTTCAGTTTTCCAATTAGGTAATAATAGTCAGCATGTTTCAGACTTAGCAATGGACTTGCAAAGAAGATCCTTTAGCTGCATCTTCTATTCCCTTTGCACATGTAGATTTATGATGAGATTACAGCAAAACAGAGACCTGGCATCATTCACCTTCCAGCCTGGACTTTTTGCTGGGCTATTTGGGTATGTTGCTAAAGGGTGTACAAAGGTAAACATAGGATAGGACATAATCAGCTAGCTTTCTGACACCAAACTAAAATGGTCTGAAAAAGAAAGGGAAATGACATGGGAATATGAAAGGAGAGAAGACAAAATTTAAGTAGTGGCTCAAGGGGGTAGACCTATGGGAGATCCACAGGATTAGGGTGGCATGAGTGAAACCTAACACATAGAAGCTTGTCCAACAGGACCTCTCCAGATTCACCTTACAGGTATGGAGGGCCATGCGGCCACTAACTAGCACACAACAAACAGCAAACATACCCTACTAGTGGAAGTACTTGTATATAAGGCATAACAACCCACACCTGTCTGTGGCCACCCAAATGGACATTCCCAAAATATTCCAGCACTACAGCTACAGAGATAACAAACCTTCCTCTATTTGGCTCAGATCCCTTTTCTCAACGTGGTAAGTACCCAGGGACTATTTCCTCACAATTTGCACACCAGATTTATTTTGGCCCAACGTTCACTTTGTTTACCAGTGTAAATAGTTATGTTCTTCTGTGACATGACACACCCTTACCTGTCCATGAGGGCTGTCTCACTAGATCAACACAGGCCACCACCATTCCTTTTGAGACCAACTCACTCCCACTTACTGTGTTACACACTACGATAGCATTAGTGCATTCATTCAAGAGACACACTTTAGAAATTTGACTTCTCCCCATCTGTGGAGCCTTCACTATCCTCACATATGTTATAACAATAACCCCTCTTTTAAATCAAAAGGGGTAGCAGTGATCTTTTTTGGCACTCAAATTTCATATGACATTTAAAGAGGTAAATGCAAAGTTAAGTTCCTCAGGGTAAAGAAAGCACAAGCAAGGTACCGCCTTAATGGTAGTGAATTAGAGATAACAACACAGGAGAAAGATGTGGGAATTGTTAAAAACTACAAACTAGGCAATAATGTGCAATGTCAATCAGCAGATGCACATGCCAATATTGTATTTTCATGTATAAAAAGAGGTATTATTTCTTGGAAATATAATATTGCCTCTTTATAAATCAATGGTAAGTCCACACTTGAATATGCTATGCAATTTTGGGCACCTGTTCTAAAAAAAGATATTATGGCTGTAGAAAAAGTGCAAAGGTGGGCTACAAAATCAATAAATGGAATGGGAAAGGATAACAAATGTAAATCTGTTTAGTTTAGAAAAACAGCCCCTCAGAGAGGCTGTGAAAGCATTATGCAAATATATCCGGGACCAATACAAACTAGTGTCTGGAAATATATTCATAAACAGTACTATACATACAGTTGCGCAGCCTATTGTATAAGGGTGTGCACCCTAAAGCAGAAACACACACGCCATATATATATATATATATATATACACATATATATATATATATATATATATATATACACATATATCTACATACACATACATACACACACTGCTGTGTGTGTGAGGGTGTTGTGTGTAGGTGCTGTGTGTGTAGGTGCTGTGTGTGTGCAGGAACTATGTGTGTGTGTGAAGGTGCTGTGTGTGTGAGGGTGCTGTGTGTAAGGGTGCTGTTAGTGTGTGCTGTGTGTGTGTATGTGTGAGGGTGCTGTGTGTGTAAGGGTGTTGTTGGTGTGAGGGTGCTGTTAGTGTGTGTGTGTGTGTGCTATGTGTGTAAGGGTGATGTGTGGGGTGTAGGGGCCGTTTAATTAATACCACCAGGGAAGGCACGAGCACGGTCCCCCCTCCCTACATAAGGTAAGAAGGGAAGGGGGAACATGCTCGTGCCTTCCCTGGTGGTCCAGTGGAGAGTGAATCAAGCCCACTGTGGGGCTAGAGTTCACTCTCGCGAGATCTGAGCGTTGCTCTGACAAGAGCTCCCCGGGTCCTCTCCTGACTCCGTGGGGATTAGGGTGTGCCCAGGCACACCTGGCCCACCCCGTGTGCATGCCTATGATCAAAGTATTCAACCCCAATTGAAAAACAGGTTTATTGTCAAAATTGACAGACTTTCAGCTGTTTGCAATGAACAAATCAAACAAACGCAATTGAAATAGCTCAACACATAAATACTTCAAGTGTTTTTTCTAAATGAAAACTGAAAATGCTACTTATTATGACTGTTTCAAAATGATTTAACCTCTTCATGGCAAACATGTACAGTAGTTAGTAGAGTACCCTTTTGCTGTTGTGACCTGCTGCAAATGAAATGTATATCCAGATAACAGCTTCTGGGAGCATTCCTGAGGAATCTTAGCCCATTGCTTATGAGTGATAGCCTCCAGTTCAATAATATTTTTGGGTCTGCATGCTGCAACTACTTTCTTCAAATCCCACCAAAGTTTTTCTAGGGGAGGTCACTGTAGAATTTTTAAGGATTTTCTGCAACCAAGCCGTGGTGAAATATGAGGTATGCTTGGGATCATTGTTTTGTTGGAAGGTCCAATGATGCCCAAGCTTCTGCTTCCTCACAGACACCAGAGCCTTTATCTCTTATTACCTTATTACCTTATTGGTCCACCGATCTGCCGACATCGGGATTGGTCGGACCGCCGCTCCCACACTGGGAAAGGATGCATTACGCATCAGGGACGCCAGCCGCTATGCGCCCGCCCCTTTTAAAGAGGCGGTGCATGCGTACCAAAACAAGAAACCTCCATGTATACGTACCTTTTGGGAGCATGGTTATGATAAAGAACCACTAACCCATTCTCTTAGCCCTGTACTTGCTGGTGCGGATTCTTCTACCCACAGCAATAATTCTAATCCCAATCCACCCATACGTTATAATGGGGATTCATCAAAATGTAGGGGCTTTCTTTACCAGGTTAGCATATTGTTTGAATTATGTCCCAGAGTGTACCCTACTGACAGGGCCAAAATAGGCTTTATCATTACCCTGCTAACTGATAGAGCCCTTATTTGGGCAAATTCCCTCTGGGAGAATAACAGTCCATTAATTTTTGACTATCCTCAGTTCAGGAGAGCTTTTGATCCACCAGGCAGGAAAGCCAATGCTGCTAGGGCTCTATTGCGATTAAGACAGGGAAACAGTTCCCTCATGGATTATGCTTTAGACTTCCGTTCACTGGCATCAGAATTCCGTTGGAACAACCAGGCATTCGTGGATGTAGCGGTGTGCTGGTCTCTCACAGACTATTTCCGCTGGTAATACAACTGAGGCTCAGGAACAAGTAATAAAACCCTAGATAACAATATCCACAGTTAGTAAAGTAATCCAAAAGTATCCCATACGTTTCCCA